CAGGCTATTGCTTTTGGTAATCATCTGCCAGTGGCCCAGAGTTCCCACCCAGAATACCATGAAGCCTAGCATCTTGACGGAAAGGACTACCTTTGAAAGCAAGTTCTAAACCTGAAACTGTTCCTAAAAGCACAACTTTTCAAAGATCTAGTCCAGTGTTTCTCAACTTCAGCAACTTTAAGATGCTTGGACGTCAAGTCCCAAAATTCCCCAGCCAGTGTGCTGTGTCCCACTTTGTCAATGCACACCTGATCAGATTTTTAAAAAATGGCCACTTTATAAATGGCCAGAAGCAGTCTTCAGAAGCCATCACACAAATAGTATCTTTTAAATGTATTGATAACAATCAGATATTTTATGTCAGAGTTTAGGTGTTGTAACTCCTAATGGAACTCTAGTCCAGTGTTTCTTAACCCCAGAAACTTTAAGATGGGTGGACTTCAACTCACAGAATTCCCCAGCCAGCATGCTGTGTCCTACTTTGTCAGCTCAAACCTGATCAGAGTCATTTGTCTGTGACATGGGCAGCCATATAAATTTGACGAATAACTAAACAAATACACTCTGCTTCTGGAACACTGTCAGAATAAATGAGATGGGGAGATTACTTTGACTGATCCTTCCCATTGGGGGCAACAAATATTCTGGAGGCTATAGGAACCCTCTAGAAAAATGGATGAGGTGGCACGGGAAATGGTAGAGGGAAAACTGGCAAAAGTCATCTTCCCTTTTTCTCAAATGTGAATCTCTTTTGGATCTCAGTTTCTTCTGTGAATGTATTGAGTTCCCAAATCCTATTCACAAAGCTTAGATTTCAGCAGGTGTAATTTGGTAACTGGTTAAAGACTGGGTGTCATTGTGTGTTTATGAAAAGTAAAGAAAGCAATAGCTCATATCTGGACAAAGATATGAAGGATGTAAGTGATAAATCTAGGAAGCCTAGTGAAGACATGTTTCTTTAGCCAACTCCCCACTGAAATATTTCAGACAACTTTGCATTAACATTCCATTCTTAGGTCCATCATGGCATTCCTGCAGGCAAAGGTTTTGAACCAAGGCAAAACTGCTTAGTATCTGTATGTAAATAGGACAATTAGGGTGTTTTCTCATAGTATTATGTGGCCTTTTTCAAAATACTGGTGCTCCTTGTTGATACAGCTTCTTTGAGATATCCTCACCTTAACTTTCTTTTCTTATTGGGCTATCTTACCACTACTTTTGACTTCAGGGGGAGATCTTGAATCATATGAGCACGGGCCTACAGAATCAGCAGGCTTAAAACCTTGATTCATACCATTCAACACACTGTAAATCACAAGCTGAGATCAGAGGAATGGTAGTTTCTTTGGCTTCCATGCAAAGTAGATTGATTGGAGAATAATCTGGCACATGACATTCCATCACATCAATTCATGTGCCAGATTATTCTTATAATATTATTATTATAATAACCTTTAACACCATCAAACAACAACATTTGCCTATCCCAGGTCCTTGGGAAGGACTCAGTAGGTGGATAAAAATGCTAGATCCAGTCTAAACATCTGTCTGACTGAGTGACCAACAATAATAATAATAACAAACTTAATACATATGTACACATAATTGCTTTTTGCAGAAAAAGTGGGCTTTTGTTTCTACCATGGTAGAATTCTTTGATAGGTTGGTAGGATTTAAGCCATGAAAAGTTGAGAACTGCTCATCCTGACTATACCATTTCAGAATGCCAAAGGTCTTGGTGGGCTGAACTGTTGCCCATACCAAACATTCTCTGCAATCTGGAGAACATCTGAGAAGGATGTTCTCCCTGGCCTGCTAGCTCTGTATGGTGGGATAGAATCATGTCAGGTCCCACCTCTAGTATAGCCTAAATTTACCCACTCAGTGTAAATAGCCTCTATCACAACTAGTGGGATGATATTTAGGGAGGATTTCTTTTGGGGTGAGCATGTGGTATTGTGATCGGCCCAGCCTATTGTTACAAAAAACTATGTTTCACACAGGCCAGATGTTCAAATAATCTTCTTTGGCTGTGTCCTCTCCCCAGTTTTTAACTGATCTCCACATTTGTCTGAGCTCCCCATGAAAGGTCTGGAGGCCTTTCCTTCTATTAATGTATCCCAGAATAGGCCTTTTATTTCAACAGCTGGAGATCATTACACACTGTTATGGTTTCTTCACCAGCAAAATCCTCTGGTCCCATCTCCCCCACATCTGAAAGGGGATGCGGTATAGCTGCTTTGCCTTTATCTCTTCTCATCCTCCCTCAGATTCCTACCATTTTCTTCCCTGCTTGTCCCTTGATTGAATGATTCCCTTTGTCCATCACTGTTGAATTGCTTTTTTCCAGTACATCTTTAGGTTTGCCGTATGTACTTGTAGCACAAAAACAATCCATAAGAAAAAAAAAATTCTTGGAGTGATCACTTCACGTGGCTAACTGATCACTATAGACTTGCTCCTGGGAGGGGGATTTGATGCTATTTCTATTCTTGAAACAGCCCCTGACCTCAGTCCAATCTTTGATTTATGTATTGAAGGATGTGTTAGAAGTTTCTTAAGTCTTATTCTCTCTCTCTCTGTATAATTCTGGCAAGAAATTTAGATAAAACCAGCAGAGAAAGGACACATTGACTTTTACTATCTCCTCCTTCTTTAAATTACTGAATTTAGATTTACTAAATTTACTAAATTACTGAATTTAGATTTCCTCCTTACTGGCAAGAATAAATGGCTATCCTAAACTTAAACTTTGGGAGCACAAGCACAAAATGGCAAGATCTGGGTGTATAGTATGAAGATGAAGACAATGATGCTGAACGATACATACTACTACCTTGTATATTTGCAACAAAGTATGCTGTCATTCTATATTTGAGTTTTTCTTCAGTGTTCTGTTAAACGTCTTGAATGTTTGGAAATCAACTGTAATTAAATTTTTATCCACAGCTAGACAAAAAGTTTTCTGTCAGCCTTTTCTATCAACTGACCATGCCATTTCCATTTTTCATTTATATGGTTCCAATTCTAATTAAAAACATTTATTAAACTCATGCATTTTTCCTCTTTTTCTGCAATGCTAGTTTTCCATGTCTTATCGGCTATATTCATATGAAACCAAATACAAAAAAACCCCAATCACATTTTAGTCTAGCAAGTTGTGCAAACACATCACACGTGGTTAGTTTCTAGTTCACTGCGTCATATAGGTTAATTAAGAAAAGGTTAGCATGGATGAGTATGCTGTGCAAACACACCTAGAATATGTGTTTAATGATGGTCTCTCATTTAAGAAACCCCTCCAAATCCTTTTCTTTTCCTGCTTAGAGTGAACTTTCCATGCCTGATGGAGTTGTCCTATGCAGTCCAGTGAATGCAGAAAGCCTCTGTTGAAGGAGTTTGGATGAAAATTCTGTTGAAATCAAGGGATCCTATTCCCAGTAAACATGTTCCAAATGGACGTATTCATCTGCTATGTGAGTCATTGCCTCAGAAATGCTTGTCTGCGTATGAACCTTTGAAAGATGCCACACCATGCCACGTTGACACATTTAAAAAAAAATTGTGGAAGCATTCAGAAATGTAGCAGATGATCTGGAGGTGGCAGGAGCTTGATTTTTTTTGAGCATGCAAATGACAGCTGCTATGTGCTTTGCATTGCAGTGAAAATGAGAAACCTTCTGCCATATCTTAGCTGTCCCTACAGCTCCCATTGCTTAATGGCTCAGTCTACAATTGGGCTCCCTGGTAGAATAGTCTGGCTCCAGCAGTTGCAGGGACAAATGATGTAATCTCTACTGTTGCCATTGATGTAAACTATTCTGTTTAGAGAACGCAGGACAAGATCTCAAGCTCAACCCCATAGCCTTCCTCTCCCTACCTCAGAGAAAAAGCTGCACACTGGCATCCCAACAAGATGACAAGTAACAAGATGCCACCAACTTTGCATGGGAAATAAAATATTGAATAAAATTTCTGCTTGTGAAAAAAACCAAGCATAGGCTGGAATGCTTACAGAGCAAAACCAATGGCTGCTTTGGAGTGAGGTCAAATTCCATAGCCTGCCGTTGAATTTATAAATTGTTACTTCAATAATCTGATCATAGTTTTCCTTTTGTTAAGTTCTTTTGTGATTTTTTTTTTAATGGGTAAGCAGTTTCTTATCCAAAAGCATGGTGATATAAACTAATTAAACACTTTTTAAAGTTGTCCTAAGTGGTATCTTGGCATTCCACAAAAAGATAGGCATGGACCCAAGCACTACCTTCTACAAAATGGAAACACATGCAAGCTATTTCTACACAGAGGGAAAGTGCAAAAGCATCCTATCAAGACTTTCACCAAAACATGGGTTTACAAAGAACAGAGCTGTTTGCCAGCATCTGTTTTCTATTTTAAACAGCCAAGATTTACCAGGAAGGGCAGAAATAAGTTCACTGTGTATAAATACCTAACAACACAACATGTAAATGATGATCAGATGCCAGCTGATAAAAGGATTTGTTTTGTATACAATGAAATTCTATCCCTTTCAATGTTTAATCGCACACATGTTGCATTCTGTCTGTCGAACTTGTCTGTGCAACTTGGTTGCCCACTTGATATTTCCAAACTCAGCTTTACAACAGCATTTGAGAAGTTAAGTTTCCTTCTGGGTTGGAGAGATGCATTCTGAGTCAACAATAAATCTTTCATGACTTGGGGAAAGGTCAAAGCAGTAAAGCCAAATTGTTTTTAAGAAAAATATATGATTATTTTATTAACAGAGGGAGATGAAAATTTATGAGGGCAAAACTCACATGGGTTATTTAAAGGATTCTGAAATAACAGCTTCCCACCCAAATGGGCGAGGAAAAAAAAACAGCTACAAAGCAACACACACACACTCATGTGCACACACATACACACTTCTGAGCTTCAGAGAATGGCAAAAAAAAAAATAAAAATAAAAAAAATGACCGTGTAATGAAAATTTAACAATTCCAATGTTAATAGCTGACCAGCTTTTTATTTTATAGCACAGCATTAACAGGTCTGAACATTAGTAATTATTTACCACTCACATTAGGAACTTAAAGCATTTCTAAACAGTTTGGCTTGACTGCCAATCCACTCTGGCCATCTTAAGATACTTGCCCAGTTCTTCCTGTTTTTTAAAGTCTCTAACCTTGCAGCTTTTAACCAGCATCTCCTTTCCCACAACAATTGCTGCTATAATAATTTAAACAAGAACCCATCCCAATTTACCACTTTTCATCTTCCTGGAATATTTAGAAATATTCTCTCAAGTAGAGTTTGGAGTGGATGATGATTGGGTATACTTTGATCCAGTGGAATTGCTGTCTGGATTAATCTCAGATCTGGCCCTTTTACCATGTTAGCTTTCAGTCACTGGGCTGTACCATGTTTTTCCTGCCCCATTATTTACTGCAGGGCTCCAGCTGGCTTGCATTTCCAACTTGATGTATGAAGCTGCTGAGTAAAATTGTGCAGAGCTAAGCTACAAGCAATCAGGAGTTTCTTCTTTTCATTTAACTCTTGTGGTCACACAGAGGGTCTGGCCACAATTGTGGCCTGGGAAGGAAGCTTCCAACAAGGATAAAATAGACAAGAACTTTCTGTAATATGGAAGAAACAGAACAATACACTGAACTATCTAGAATACCATCACAGCTTCCACCCGTGTGCAGGTAGGTACGTTAACAATTTAGATCTTTTTGTGTCTTCTGGCTTGAGGAAAAAAAAGGGGCAAGGAACTACTGAATAGTGCTCACTCAGTAAAAAAAAAAAAAAAAAAAAAAGATTTCCTGTTGTTTGTATTTAGTATATATTAGGAACACTGGAAAAGCATTTTTAGCATACTGTGTCTAGGTTGTAAAAATCTGGGTGACTACTAGATAGCAGCAGAGGGACTTATGTATCTCTGCAGCATTTAGTTGCCATCCATTGGCTTTCCATACTTTTTGCAGCCTGGACATGCCTAATAGTGAAAATCTATTATTTTTTGCCAACTTTGAGAGCGTTTGAAGTTTAATAAAGACTCCCAAGTAGAGTCACAGGCTCATGGCAGAAGTGGATTAGTTGTTGGAACAGAATTTTAAATTATAGTAGTGGCTAAAAACTGTAATTTTATAATATACTATACTATAATAATACTGGGCCATACATTTCCAAACGTTATCTTTTCACATAATTGTAAAGGAAAACTTCTCTTAAAATCTTTTCGCTATGAGAGAAATGGTGATTTGTATGTGAACGTTATAGATGGAACAAAATGGAATTGGATTGTCATGCACTAGAGAATGGACTCAGAATATGGGGGTTTACCATATTTTCTAAAGTCTATCTCAGGCACAATCATATGTCCTTTCATTCACCCACCATTTATGGAATTGGGCTAACTTCAGGATCATACTTCTGAACTCAATTCTCCTTTCAGTCCATGAATTGTGCAATTCTCACATTCCTACTTGCCAGTGAATCCATTACTCTACAGTCTTCAAATCTACAGGCTTCATTTTACAGTCAAAAGAAAATTGAACCTAGTAAACATTTTCCAGTGCTTACCCCCCTCCCCTCCACCATCAAGAACTAATGTCTATTCTTATAACTAATATGTTTACATAGTAGATAACCCTGTTCTATGCCTCTAGCTTGTTTTTTCCTTTTAAATGCAATTTCTATCCTTTTCTCATATAGAACATGATGCAACCTAAGTGGACTGTCAGATTTATGATCGCTATTTAACAGAAATTATGAAGTAAAAACAGCTGTACAAGGATAATTGCCTTTTGGGCAGACGTCTTGCTCTTCCTCTTATCCAAGAAATTTCAGATACATTAACGACTGAATTGACATACTTCCATACCTTAGCTTTGACTTTCCCAGCTACACAGTGTTAGATATTTAATATTCTTTCAGGAACTGCTAAAGACTAATGCATTTTTCCACCCACACTGATACTAATCTATAACTGGCCATGATATGAACGTGTTAGCATTTCACCCTCTTGTAGAGGGAAAAAAAGAAAAAGAACAAAAAAAGAACCTTTACAGAAAAGACTGCAAGGAAAGGAAGGATAAAAATTAGCTTGGGTTTGAGCAGCTCCACCTGGAGGTGGCCATTGGCAATTGTATTTTGTGGAAATATATACTGTATGTGAATGCACAGAAAGGAAACACTTTGGTAATCGACTCAAGTGTCACAATATTTGAAGTAGCCCTTAGCACACATATTGGCTAAATAGAAGTCTAAAACTAAATGTTTATTTCTTTACTCCTTTTACATCCAGAAATAATTGTAAAGAAATAAAAACAAGCATTTTAATTTTTCTTTATAAAATAAACATTGCTGTATCTAAGTTACCTGTAAATTCTTAGTTATCACCACTATATACATTATGATGCACAGTATACACAAATTCACTTCTAGGGGGAAAGAACTATCCATAAGTAAGGATCAGGAATCATTAAACAGAGTTTAAGAAAAATGAACAAAGGTTGTTGCTCGTCATTTCAATGGCATCTTGAACCAGTTAGCAGTCGCTGTGCCATACTTCTTTACTTTTCAAAGTCATTTAGTAGCCATATTTAGCATTCAGATGGGTTCTGCCGTCACCACTTTGACCTGCTCAATACAGAGAAAGGAAAACAGAATGCTTATTTTAAAATCTGAGAGATTTTTTTTTGCTTGTAGTGCTTTTTAAAAGAATTTGCATTACTGTTGTTTCTCTCAATGGTTTTATTTCAATGCTGTTTTTAATTTGTTCAAGATTTTATTTTGTACTTTATAGTTTTACCTTTTAATCCAGGGGACTTTTTTTTAATGAGTAGGATAAAAATGTTCTAAATATATTGGAAAATGGATTATTAGAAATTGATAGGTTGGAAATACAAAAGGTGTATGCGGAATTTGCAGGCTATTTGACATTTGAGGAATGGAGCTAGCAAACCTAATAAAGATATGTACTATGTACGCTTCTTACAACAGTATATGATTTTATTACTAAAAAACAAACATTGTTTTTTAGTAATAAAAATGACTAAAAGTAATAAATTACTCTGTAGTAAAAGACTATTCCATCTGCTACAAATATAGGCAAAGCTGCTACCATTATTTCTATTCTAGTTTTCAACACAGCCAGAGCCAGAAGCATGCTATGAGCAGAAGATCGTAATACTGTGGTTGAACATGCTCTGGGATCTGAACATCATTCCTGCAAAAGCAGAGCCAGGCTTTACAATAGAGAGAAGCAGCTTTGATTCTCTACCAAAACCCACTTCTGCCTATTATATTCAGAGATGGAACACTGATCTTCTCTATACTTGAATTCCAATAAAGGTGACACATGAACTTAGAGCTAACATAATTATTAGTCAGAATGGAGTAATAATTATGTTAGCATTTATATAACCTCATTCTGAAGAGCGAATAGGAAACTGTAGCATTAAAAAAATGGCACCATCCTGAATATATCTTGTTTACTCTGTATGTCCAGTTGGTTAAGGGTTTTGTGTGTGTGTGCGCGCGTGCCTTAGAGTCAATCTTGCTAATGGTGACTGCCTGGAGGAGTCCTTGCAGTTTTCTTGGCAAGATTTTGGAAGTGGTTTGCCTTCAGCTTCTTCCTAGGGCTGAGAGTGACTGGCCCAAAGTCAACCAGCTGGCTTTGTGCCTAAGGTTTGACTAGAACTCACAGTCTGTTTTAAGCACCTGTCTCTTAGTTTTCTTTGTTTGCATATAAAACTACATTTTTTCAGCAACTCAGGTTCTACAAATTACTCTGATTCCCCCTTTACCTTCAGGTGGCATCCATACACAGTAATCTGGGTCATCTTCTGGATATTTTGAGGATATTGAATGCTGAATCTGTAGGACAGAAAGTAATTTGTTTTCATAAACATATGCCAGAGTGTGTAACTTTAATTGCACTGTGGGCATGCCAGCCCTTGAATGGCACACCAGGGATCATGCTGCAAAAGAGGGCTGAATCACATAAAAACATCTTAAAAATGAGTGGGAGGCAAAATTTAAACTTAGCACTCATTAAACAAATCAATGGGATAAATTTGTTAAATGTTAAATTTTGCTAATATAATTATTACTTCTGCATAATTTAAATTCTTGTTACAGGTTAACACACCAACTTACAATGATCCCCATCCCTTCACAAATCAGTTGATTCCAAGGTTTAAAATAAAGTAGGTGACCTAAAAACAAAACCACCTCAAACCACTCTCTCCTGTATAGAGACATGCTCAAGTCTTGAATACTATGGCAGAGACAAAACAAGACAGAGTGGCATGTGGCATGTTTCTGGCAGGCAACATAACCAGTGGGGCGGGGCGGGGAATAATAGATGGACCACAAGTTGCATATTCTCTGTGATCCAGAGCAGTGTTTCTTAACCTCAGCAGTTTTAAGATGCATGGACTTCAACTCACAGAATTCCCCAGCCAGCTCTGGGAGTTGAAGTCCACATATCTTAAAATTGCTGAGGTTGAGAAACACTGACCTAGAGAATGAGTGAGCCTGAGGCAAAAACGTAAACCGGAGTATCAAATCCATATATTGGGCCAGTTCCTTTTATGTCTAGAATTCATTTCAAATTATGATTTGTGGGCAAAATACTGTTTTGTCAGACTATACTCTGAGGCTTGCTTATATATGAAGGAGATTTTTGTATCAAATAAAAAGAGTAGGGTTGATAACTAAAGGAAATATAGTTTTTTAGTTGGGCATAAATTGAGGAAAATGCAAACAATTGTTTAAATAACTGTTTCTACTGGAAGATTCACATAAGGAAAAGAATACAAAAATTATCTCAGACATTTTAAATAAGATAATTTGCGGATAGACAAAAAAATAAAAATTAAACCGCATTGTTATATCAAGTGCTGCACTACAGAATAGTCCTCTATTTTTGTTTTGTGTAGGAGAAAAGAAAGATGCAGTATCCCCTAGCTCAAGCATTACTGCAGATTTAGAAAGCGAGATTAACAGCAGATGGTCAAACAGCTGCACATAATTTCTCTATCATTAGCTCTACTGCACCACCAAGGCTGATTAGGTGAGATATTTTAATAATTGCCGGTTCAATGGAAACCAAGTATTTGGATTATAACCCTTTTATATAAGCTCTTGTACATTTTTGTGAGCAGTGCTACTATTCCCAAAATATCAACAAGTTATCTCCTTTTGATAAGCATAAAAGTTGCCCCTCCGAGAGCAGTATGCTACAGGAACAGGCTGAGACAAAGAGACAGTTGCCCTCAAATGCCAATATCAAGCAATTCCTTTTTTAATTCATAAGGGAACATTCCTCGCCCCCCCCCATGGCTAGACTAAAAAGAGTCTGTTATTATTAACTATTATCATTATCTGGATGGGGTATGCAATCTGGGGGTCCTCCTGAACTCACAGATCCTGCGTGAGGAACAGGTGGCAGCTGTGGCTATGAGGGCCTTTGTCCAGCTTTGGCTTATGCGCTAGTTGTGCCTGGCCCTGGATCGAGAACCCTACTCATGCTCACTCATGCCTTAGTGACCTCTGGATTGGACTATTGCAATGTGCTCTCTGTGGGGGTCCGCCTGAAGAGCACTTGAGAGCTGCAGCTGGTGTAGAATGCGGTGGCCAGGGCAGTTAGCGGGGTCTTTTTTTGGCAGATGTGGCACTACTGCTCCGTGAGTTGCACTGGCTACCAGGGTGCTTCCAGGTGCAATTCAAGGCACTGGTAGTCTCCTGATTATGTTGATTGCTGTTGTTGTTTATGATTCTCAACTGCTACATGTTTTTATTATTTTAATGCTGTAAGATGCCCAAAGTCATTTATCTGAGATGGGCAGCGACATAAATCTATGAAACAAACAACCAAACAAGTTTTTTTCTTCCAACTCACCTTATGTTTACTGCTACCTTTCTGATTCTTGGGCATTCCTGCAGGCGTCTCAGACGCTAGTAAAATAAATAGTTGGAAAAATGAAGTTTATAATACCAGCTCTTTGGTTATCTTCAAGTCAGTAAAGCCTTTCTCTAAGAGCAGGGAGTTGTTAAAATAAAGCACTGTGTCTCACTGACAAAACAATGAGTGCAGATATCCCAGAAATGCGAGTAACAGTAGGACTGCCATACTGCCTTTTGAATATATCTCAGGTGAAGTGTTATTCATGTTTCTAATATTTTACCTGAAATATATTTTTCTTTAGTTTCTTCCTCCTTTATTTTGATCACTGTTATACATGTAGTTTTTAAACTGTACTATCGCTGAAATATTCTTCTTCTGTAAGGTTTCACTAATAAACTTTTTTTTAAAGGTAAAATATTTCTTCGCTTATTATTTGCATGACACTGCCTATTGGAAGTAGTCCAACATTAGAAAGCATAATTTACCATTGCGTTTTTCCCCTTCATTCTTCTGAAAAGGCTTGAGTTTCTAAATTAATGCTTTTACAAGTGATTTATAGATCTGAGCAGAGCACTGAATGAAAGTCCAACATCTCTTTGGATCTGCAGCGTGAAGGCATAAAGGGGTTACAGCCAGGCTCAGCATGGCTGGTTTGAGGCTCCTGAAGTTTTCTGACATTGCCCCTGAGATAACTGGAGAAGTAACTTTAAGTGGCTAAGACTGATATGCCCCTTAAGGGACCTGGAGAGGCACTCTGCTGAAAGCTCAGCCCAGGCCTAGTAACTGGAAGCAAGTTCCTTTATCTTCATTCTAAATTTTTCAGTTACTGAATGCAAAATATTGTTTAAAATACATTTCTTCATTTTTAACTAGAAGAAAATAGTGATCTTCTTAAGAGTCAACAACTTTTTCTCATCAGTTGTAAAATATAATTTGTTTCAATGTCAGTGAAATTATCATTTTGTCCTAATGTTCACAATCCATAGCTTGTTCAGAGATAAAAGGGTTGGATAAAACTGCTTACCTTCTGGTTTTATCTGTTCATTCACTGGGGAATTATGCTCTAATGTGCTTGTATCCTTGCTTGAAGATTCAGAATGAGACTTAAGTCCTATAAAAATACAATAGGACCCCAGAAATTTAGTTAATTAGACATAGTAATAATATTTTTTAAACAAATTATGATGCTAACCTTTTTCATTCCTTAAAAATAGAGTCTTATCTATTTAAAGCAGCTTTTCCACTATACACAGCAATGATATTGCAAAATAAAACAGGAGATAAGAGCTTTTCAGTGAGCCCCAGATCAATAAAAACAGGGAGCCTTAAAATGTGAAAATGAAGCTAGGTGGTATAAAGATAAAAATATGAAATTTATGGAAGCTTTTTTAAAAATGGGAGGGTGTCAAATAAGGATGGACACTAACTTATTTTGTTAAATCTTATTATTGCATTGCAAATATTAGGAAAATTAAGAGTATTCAAGGTCTTAATATAAAAATCAATCATAATTAATCTATTTGATTTTTTGGGGGGGGAAATGAAATAGGTATATACCTCAATTAAGTTTAAGTGAAATATATTTAATATATTTTATGTAGTGGCAAGTTCAGAAATTCATTTTGATAAACCACGGTTAATTAACATTGATTCTCTTTCTCTCTCTCTCTCTCTCCCCCTCTCCCTCTATCATCTGCTGTCCAAAAGACTTTACTGGGACTGTGAAAACATCCAAATTCATAGCTAACATAGATTTGCCTGAATGAATGAATGAATGTCTGGGCAGAGCTATACTAGTTCTGAAAGAGATACCTTGCAACTGAGACCAGTTCAAGATATTAGTTCTTTCCTTTCAAGCTCCAAAGAGTGTGTGGCCTCAAATAGCTACAGAAGTATGTCTTCTTATACCATCCTGCCTGGGCATTAATCAGAGAAGGCATTGTTCTTGGTTCTGTATGAGAAAATTAATCATTAATCAGCCTCTAGAGAAAGGATAGCTTCTTTTCAACTGCCCTCTCACAGGAAGCTTACCTAGTGTCAATGTTGCATTCTTTTTGGTGATAGGTTAAAGTTTTATTTTCACTGGCATTTTCATTATTGTTTAAAATATTACAAATATAGTTCTGTTTTTACTACCTGTTGATTTAATTTTAAGTTTCTTCCCTTGTACCAGTATTAGGTAGTGTTATTGTATTCAATTTATAAACTTGCTATTCTGTAACCACATTGGGTTGATGATGCATAATATAAAGTTTAAAATTAAATTTAAAAATATTCTGGGAAATATGAGAGTTGTGCATGCTTCACATAACCACTATAGTGTAGCAGTCAAGGTGGTATACTTGATCCACAGGGCCCCACTCAGTCACAAAGCTCAATAAGGATTCTGATCCAGTCACACTTTCTCAACCTAACCCACTTCACCCCCTACCAGCCTCTGGATCCAATGGAGCCAAGCATCCTCTGAATTTCAAGAAATAATGGACTTTGCTGCAAAGAAACTTGGATAATGGGAATGTTGGCTAATATAACTGGAAGATGGCAGCCCAGTGAAATGTGCCCCTTTCCCCCCACTGGGGCTAGGCACTGACGGCATGGCTGCCATCACTTAGCAATGTGGTCTCTCTCCCCAATGGTTTCAGTGGTGCCACCTGTGCAAAGGGTGCCACCAACTTTGTCTTTATACCTCCCTCGGACTACTACCACAGAAGTGGGAAACAGATGGACTGCATGTGTTTTGGGGCTCAACCCCTCCCAACTATCTGCCATGTAATGGATATTCAACTTTAATGGACACCCTTTCTACTCTATTAAGAGTATTCTACTCTTTCTACTCTACTCTTTTATCTTAAATTGAAAATGTACTGTTTAAGGAAACTAGAAGTAGACACAATTGCTAGCAAAAATGACTAAATCTTCATATTCCCTCTCTTATTTCTTTAAGTTCAAACTAATTAAAATGTGTAGAAGTTGAACAACTATTAAAAAAACAGTATAATTAACCATCACTAATGAATTCCATGCCTTGGTTTCTTGGTGAATAAGAATCAGAAATGAGATTCCCTTGTTTAACCATCTCTTGTGTTGCAGTTTCCATCTTTGTTTTCTGTGAGCTTTGATTTACACTGCTGTTCACATCTTCCTCCTCCTCTTCTTCCTCCTCCTCTTCTTCTTCTGGCCCCTCATCTTTCATCTTTAATAAGTTTACAGGTATGTCTGGACGTTTCATGGGCAACTTCTGTATGGTAAACAGAAATTACAGTGAAGGCTGCTTTTCAACTGACACTCAGAAATAAGGAAAATTGGAAAAGGTGCATTAGAAACTGGCCTTATACATATTTCTAGGAATAAGAAGTTAATGGCCTAATATTTTTCTCAGAAAATACAGAGTTCCTATAATAAACATGAGATAGGCGACCCCTGAAACTCCAGCAGCTTTTCCCAATACTGTCACAGTATTGTGTGCTTGAAGTTCTACAGCGCAAAATTAAAACCCAAAGCCTTTTCTTCTTACTTACCCCTACAGTCCCTGTTTTTAGTCTGAATTTGCTTCCCCCTTTCATGGCGCCAAATAAGGGTAAAGTTAGCTTTTTTGGCTTCTTCTGAGATTCCAGATCTTGATTCTGAAGCCTATGGAAAATGAATAAAAAACAAAACAAAATGAAGCATATCCAAAAAAAATAACATCAGATCTTGAAAGACTAGGTTTACTCATATGGGCAACCTACATATAGAGCCCTACACAACTCTAATTGGACTGGCTTCAATCAATACAGGTTTTATAGGATTGATAGGAACCCAGTGCAGCTGATACAGCCCAGTTCACACAATAGTGCATTTCTTCTCCAAGCATGAACTTCTGTTATTAAACATTACAATAGTACCCAACACTTCCCACAATTAATGCAAATTATAATTTACATAAAATTGAGGCCAGAGGGTTGTTGTTTTTTAAGTTCAAATGTTACATATACTCCATCACAAGTGCATTTAGTGGCTAAATTATATCACATATTTAAAATAATAGGAAAGGACAAAATGATTAGTGCTCTGTAATCAGACTCACTGGGAGTTCAGCTCTGGCATGGATGCAGGTGTAACAATCTTAATTAATCCTTTCAATCGCTGCTGTTCCTTCCTCAGTTCAAAGGTCCTCAAATGAAGCTTTTTACGTGTCACACTGTCTATGGCACAGCCTGATTTGATTTCTGTCATGAATTCGTCCAGTGAATCCTGAGTTGCTGAATGGGACTGTGCTACAGGAAATTATATATATGAAAAACATATATATGAAATACACAAATATATTATTTAGAAATAAATAAATATTAGGAATATCTGCAAAAATGTTAACGTCTACACTATTTCAATGTATTTTTGTATCCAATTATTCTTATACCAGTTCTTTGTGTCAATATTCTCCCTTCTCCCCATTTAAAGATTAAAAAGATACTGAGTTACAGTATTTAACCAAATTACTGATTTTTTTTAAAACAAAGGGATTTCTAAAATCAACCTCTCCTATGTAACAAAACTTTTATGCCTTTTTAAAGTCAGACAATATATTAAACCCTAAACCTGTGTTAACAAAATTAAGTGCTGCGTTCACATAATAGCAAATATAGCATCTTATGGTTTAATGGCAATTTCAGTGATGCTGTGGGTGTCCTATCTCGGTGTCTGGGGCTGTGAGGATCTGGATGGGAAACAACAGGCTTCAACTGAATCCTGGCAAGACTGAGTGGCTTTCGGTTTTGAGCCCCTCTGGTTCTATGATTTTACCATCTTTGGTACTGGATGGGGTCGCACCGCCTCAAACAGACCCTGTGTGCAATCTGGGGATCCTCCTGGACTCACGACTCCTGCTTGAAGAGCAGGTGGCAGCCGTGGCTAAGAGGGACTTTGCACAACTTCGTATTGTGCATCAGTTGCGCCCATTCCTAGATCAGAGGGACCTACTCACAGTCACTCATGTCCTGGTCACCTCCCAGTCTGATTACTGCAGTGCTCTCTACATGGGGCTGACCTTGAAAAATATCTGGAAACTTTACTGGTGCAAAATGCAGAGGCATGAGCAGTTATGTGTGGTTCTAGTAGAACACACATTACACCTCTGCTTCGTGAGTTGCACTGGTTACCAGTTTGTTTCCACGTCCAATTCAAGGTGCTGGTGTTGACCTTTAAAGCCCTTTATGGCATGGGGCCGGGCTACTTGATCGGCCTCTCCCTGATTTCATCTGCCCGTCCTACCAGATCCAGCAGAGAGGATGTTAACGGTTCTGTCACATAGGGAGCTACATTTGGCAGGCCCCAGGCAGTGGGCCTTTTCTGCTGTGGCGCCTGCACTGTGGAATCTTCTCCCCCCTGAGGTGAGACTGGCATCGTCACTGTTGCGCTTCCGGAGGTACCTTAAGACTTCGTTATGCCAGCAGGCCTGGGGAACCCAGGGGATGGGGGATTAGGGAGGTGGCTCCCTTATTTTTAACTTCCTTTTATTCTCGGTTTTATTTTGTTTTATATATTTTTAATGTATTTTACTGTTTTTAGCTTTGTTGTACACTGCCCAGAGTCATCTGTGGTGAGA